GGCTAAAATTAACAAGTCAGGGAACAACAGATGTTGGCGGGGTTGTGGAGAAAGGGGAACCCTTCTACACTGTTGGTGGGAATGCAAGCTGGTGCAACCACTCTGGAAAACAGTATGGAGGTTCCTCAAACAGTTGAAATTAGAGCTACCGTTCGATCCAGCAATTGCACTACTGGGTATTTACCCCAAAGAGACAAATGTAGGGACCCGAAGGGGTACGTGTACCCCAATGTTTATAGCAGCAATGTCCACAATAGCCAAACTGTGGAAAGAGCCAAGATGCCCATTGACAGATGAATGGATAAAGAAGATGTGGTATATATACACAATGGAATATTATGCAGCCATCAAAAGGAATGAGATCTTGCCATTTGCAACGACGTGGATGGAACTGCAGGGTGTTATGCTGAGTGAAATAAGTCTATGAGAGAAAGACATGTATCACATGACCTCACTGATATGAGGAATTCTTAATCTCAGGAAACAAACTGAGTGTTACTGGAGTGGTTGGGGGTGGGAGGGATGGGGTGGCTGGGTGATAGACATTGGGGAGGGTATGTGCTACGGTGAGTGCTGTGAATTGTGCAAGACTGCTGAATCACAGATCGGTACTTCTGAAACAAATAACGCAACATATTTTAAGAAAAAAGAAAAAGAAGAAGATAACAGGAGAGGAAGAAAAGGGGAGTATGTCAGAGGGGGAGACGAACCATGAGAGATGATGGACTCTGAAAAACAAACTGAGGGTTCTAGAGGGGAGGGGGGGAGGGGGATGGGTTATCCTGGTGATGGGTATTGAGGAGGGCACATTCTGCATGGAGCACTGGGTGTTATGAACAAACAATGAATCATGGAACACTGCACCAAAAACTAATGATGAAATATATGGTGATTAACATAACAATAAAAAAATTAAAAAAAAAAGATGGTGGCTACACTCATGGTTAGCATAGCTTAATCACTATGTTGTACACCTGAAACTAATGTAATATTATGTGTCAACTACTCAAATAAAAAAATTTTAAAAGGAAGGAAAGCTATCAAGGGTTAAAAGGGCCTGTAAGAGGAAGGAGAAAGAGGAAGCATAAGGATTATTATCCTGGAAAATGTTGAAGCAGGCTGGCTGGCCTTCTGCTTTAAAAACAAATACATAATTCATATATCTAACCTATTTCCCAAAAAAGGCCCAAGGTAATGTGCAGAGAGGAGCAGTTCTGTGCAGGCCTCTGAACTGAAACATTCCTTCCCACCAAGAGACAGTTCTAGATCCAAGGGCAAAGAACTGCAGAGAAGATATCTAAGCTTTATGACTCAGTAGAAAAAAGGATGAGATCTTGCCATTTGGGACAACGTGGGTAGACCCAGAGGGCATTATGCTAAGTGAAATAAGTCAGACAGAGAAAGACAAATACCATAGGATTTCACTTACATGTGGCATCTAAAAAACAAAAGAAAGGAACAAGCAAACTGAAACAGACCCACAAATACAGAGAACAAATTGGTGGTTGCCAGAGGGGGAGGAGGAGGGGAGATGGGCAAAATAGGGGAAGGAGGTGAAAAGGTACAAGCTTCCAGTTAAATACACACATGGAGATGAGACATACAGCATAGGGAATACAGTCAACGCTATTGTAGTAAGTCAGTATGCTGACAGATGGTGACTATACTTACTGTGACGATCGCTGAGTAATGCATACAATTGTCAAACCTCTGTGTTGTACCCCTGAAATTAGCATCCTACTGTATACCAACTATACTTCAATCTAGTCATCTAGACTTCAAGACCACAAAATACTGGGTATCACCCACCATCACTGACAATGGAATCAGACTTTTGAAACCTGAGTAGTGAAAAGCACACATACTCATGTTTATGTGTAGAGACTCAGACAAAAGAGACCTACAGGAAACAGACAGATAAGCAACAACATTAACAATTTCCTCAGAATGATTTTCATTTTCTTCTTCACTGCCATTCAGGGCTTTTCAGTTAATCTTCTGGTTTTGGAATGCTCATGTAGTTTTTGCTTATGAAAATATATTTAAAGTAGAACAATGATTCAAATCATGGGGCTATGTTTTTTCTATAGCTTATTTCTCTGATTTATGAATGTGATTTCAGATAGATTTGGTGTGAACTTAAGAATATATTCTGTGATTATGTTCTGAGACCCAAAAGACTGTTTAGACTTCCTTTAGAGTCCAGATGGAATTCACAGGATCATGATTCACATTTTGAGGAGACAAAAATGGAGGTGATACCCCAACACACTGGCCCTCCAGCACCATGGGCTGAAACTGCCAAACCACTGCAGGCCGGCCCTGGAGACCCCCATTCTCCCACAGGGTAGGCAGCACAGACAGCTAACCAATCTCCTTTACCATCCCTGCAGGAGGCGATCCCACTGCCACACAATGGACATGGGGAAGGAAAGGGTAAGCAACTGGCATCTCCTTGTGGAGGTGGACTAGGAGAACCCAAAGTTCTGCTCCTGTGGAACATTCTACCATTTCATTAGGAAACCAACTGAACAACATTTGTGGGCTGTGTTTAAAGTAGCCCAAATAATTGATCTGAAGAAAAGCAAGTCAATTCAAATATTTGCTGGGACCCCACCATGTGGCAAAGGCACCTGCTCAAGGCACCTGGAGGCCTATAGAGTAGGAACAGCCATTCAGAGTCCATCCTAAAGTCTGCCATCAGGGTATCTGCAACCCAGTAGCTTCGTGTTTATATGTAAACCCAAACTCTCTTCTGTGCTGGACCGACTGTGGACATTTAAGGGTTAAAGTCAGAAAATCAAAACTCCCTTTATTTTAGTATGTTGTTAGTTCCTTTTAAGTTTGTGCCTCTCACACTGGCAAAAACACAGAGAGGATAAATTCCTCAAAGTTCAGCTACATTTCCATTAGAAAAATCAAATGCCTCTTGGTATACTACAAGTGTTTTATACTTATTTTAAGACACCAAATTAAAAAAACTTACTTTGGATTTACAAAGTAGTGAACACTGACCTTACTATTTCTCTTCCTCCTCCTTACTGTTCCTCTTGAGAGCAGAAATGCTCCTTTTAGCCAGTGACTTCCAAGTTTCTGTGATTAAGTCCACTGTAGACTTCATAAACCCGAACTCGTATGCCCAGGCACCTACAGAGCCTGGAGCACTGCGTTACTACAGAAGAGGGTTCTGGAGCCCTGACATGCCTGGCCCCAGTGCCACCCCCTGCTTGTCCCAGGCCACAGTCACACGTGAGCGATCTCAACACCTCCTGTCTGTCCTCCCCTCATCTTCACGCTCTTCCTCCTCCTTCTTTCTCTACCAGCAGCCCTGCTCCCTCTTCTCATGGCATCAGCCCCAACTTTCAAACCTCTCCTCCCAAATACACAAGGTCCAAGCCCACTCTTTGCAAACCAACAGCTAAGACCATGCACAGAGCCCACCTCGACTGGTTCAGATGCTACGCATACCTGCACACTCAAGCTGAAGGCCATTGCTTATGGAGTAGCTGCTGTGCGCCAAGCACCACATTCTACCTTCAAACCCTAACACTCATAGACCCAGCCTCTTCCCTCCTAGCCTCATCTTGTTGATGCTCCTTAAGAGGATTATTCCCAGCAATTATGTACCTGGGAGCCCTCAGCCTTCTATTTCCTAAGCTTGAGACTTCTGGACCTTTCTCTTCCTATTTGCACAAAAGTAAATACACAGCATGGAAAAAAAAAAAAAAACACCTTTGGAACACACAAAGTCTAAGTTAACTCAGGGAGACTACAACACCTATAGAGCCAGCATATAATTCCATAGAAACCAAAGCATGTCAGGCTGATATTTTTTTTATTTTTAAAGAAAAAAGTCCTAATTATTTTTGTTTAAGGTGGTCACCTTTTAGTGGTTATCTCAGTGAGCCTCCTAGATGGCACAAGGGCAGAGCACCTCCAACACAACACCATTAACATCCTCACCCACTGCCTCTAAAGCAGGACCCCCAGCCAAGCAGGGCTGTGCACACAACTGTTAGCCCTGGAGGGCAGCGCAGTCACTGCAGCAGCCTGTAACTGGGAAGGGGCACTGGGAACTTTCTTGGTAATAGAAATGTTCTATTTCTTTTTTTTAATTTTTTTTTAAGATTTTATTTATTAATTTGACAGAGAGAGCACAAGTAGGCAGAGCAGCATGCAGAGGGAGAGGGAGAAACAGGCTCCCCGCTAAGCCAGGAGCCCGACGTGGGGCTCGATCCCAGGACCCTGGGATCATGACCTGAGCTGAAGGCAGTCACTTAACCAACTGAGCCAATCAGGCATCCCAGAAATGTTCTATTTCTTGATCTGGGTGGTAGATATAAAAATATATAAATCATCATGCAAATGAATTCTTACTAAAATTCAAGGCAAAATGGGCACGTGGTACTTACCAAAATTCAAGAAAATCAGTTTGGCCTGTATCCCAGGACATAGTTTGATGAGAAATGGAATGGCAACATACAAACCCAAAACACAGAGAAGTATCTTCCTCAGTCGGAACCACAGGCCCTTTCGCCTGCAAGAGAAGAGCAATTAACAGGTCAAAGACTGGAGGTGCAATTTTGCTCCCATTTATTAACAGCATTATCAAAATCACTAACCAAAATCTACATGTCGCTTTCCCCACAATAACTGTGCCAGTAATAAGACTAGCATCCCACCTGCTTTTGTTAAAAAATTATTTTAGACATCTTTCAATCTGAGCTTAGAACTCTACTGCGCGGAAAGGGGGAGGGTACAGTTTCTCCTGAAAGCCAGCAGACCATCCTGATGATCTCCTGTGCTTGCCCTGGAATCAGAACACAGCACAGACATCAGTCAGCTCCCCAGCAAGTGCCCAACCTGAAGTCAGAGAGTAGCGGCAGCTTCATCTGGGGAAAGTGGCTGGCTCTAGGCCGCATGATCGCTGTCCTGTAAGCCAGCCACAGGCATGCGCTGCCCGCTGGCTCCTTGTAGGAAGCTGAAATATCAACAGAACCTGCCCAACCAGGTCTGGGGAGCGAGCTGGGGGCTGACAGTGAGACTGTAGCCGACACTGCCTGTCCTTGCATTCCAGCCCACATTCCATCTGGCACCACCGGATGGAGGCCCCTTCTCCAGGCAACGTAGGCCAGGTCTCCAGACCCTCTTCTAAGCCCACGCAGCTCCAAGACTTCCTTATCTTATTCCTGATGCCTTTTCAAAAATGTCCCTAGTCCAGAGATTCTAAACTCCTTGGACTAAGTGTTTCTCTATAACTAGAAAACTAAAGCCCCCAAAGAGCTTCTGTTTACACGGTTTATATTTATCACTATTTGTCATGTGAGAAGTTAAAATACAATTTAAAAATATTTATTCATGCATCTAATAACAAGAAAGCCATTAAATGTTAATATAATTAACATTTGTTATTTAAAAAGTGATTATATTTTCCAACACAAAAACTTTTAGTGAGGAGAGCAGCATTAACATTTTTACAAATTTCTTTAAGCCAGATAGCTTAATAAAAGACAGATGGATTCTCATATCTTTCTGCATCCAATCTGTTGCGATACCACACATCAGGCAGCATCTGGAAAACTCTGAGACAATGAGTAAAAAAGGCAAATAATACCTTTGGGTTATTATGAAAATCATTTTAACCTTGTGGACACTCTGAAAGGATCTTGGGGAGGACCCTTGAAAACCGCTGCTCTAACTTATGAACCAAGTCTAAACCTGAGTGGGGCTAAGTATTTACTTCTGGACTGTTTCCAAAATAACTATTTAAAGTGGTTTTAAACATATAACAGGACCTGCTGACACATGCAATAATATGGATGCATCTCAAAAGCATTCTGCTAAATAAGACAGACACAAAAGACTACATACTGTATGATTCCGTTTATCTAAAATTCTAGAAGAGACAAAACTATAGGGACAGACAAACAGAACAGTGGTGGCTGGGGATGGAGGGAGATTGCAAGGGGCACACAGGGAACTTTTAGAGTAATCAAAATAATTTATCTTGATTGTAGTTACACATTTGTATGCGTAAATAATACCTCAGCAAAGCTGATGACAAACATGCATATCTGACAGTATAACTCATTCACTCATTCACCTGGTTTACTCAGTGCTAGCACTCTTTGGGCAGCAGACACTAAGGGAAGCAAAGGAAGGCCTCTGCATCCATGCTGTGCTCAGCTCAGTGGGGCAGACACAGAGCTCTGAGAGAAGCACGTGGTGCAGGGTAATCTGACCCAGTCTGGGCTGCCAGGGAAGGGGCCACTGGGAGGAACACTAAGTTAGGAATATAGGAGTTAACTAGATGATGTAGAAGAATAGTTTAAAATGGCATCTTAAATTCCATGCACAATCTGCCCTTCCAGTGATGAAGGGTATTACAACATTGTGGTTAAAGGTGCTGGCTCTGAAGTCAGATGGTCTAGTCTAACTTCTAACCTACCACTTACTAGCTGTGCAATCCTGGATAAATTACTTAATCTCTCTGAGCTGTGGTTTCTTCCTTACACCGAGGGCATAAAAGTGGTACCTCTTTTGTGGGGCTCCTGGAAGGATTACACACAATAATGCACATAGAGTACACATATGAGTTCTGGGTCCACAATATATCTAAGCTGTCATCACCATCTTCTTACTCTCATTAAGGGAAAGAGCAGGGACTGGGCATAGTAATGGGCCTGAAAGGGAAGGACACAATGTGAGAGGTCCGAAGAGGCCAAGAAGAATTCAGGACTTCATTCTGAGAGAAAATGGAGAGCCCATAAAAAAGAAAATAGCCTGCAATCAAATGCACAACCATCAAATGCCAGATGCGAAGTTCATGCTTAGGTCCTCTGCTTTGGCCACATTGGCCATTCCTATGTCCCTTGCACAATTTGGTCACTCACCCTCTAGAGCCTGCATAAATCTGGCCATTATAAAGTGTTCACGCAACTTGTAATTTTATGTCCTCAGAGCAAGGAAAGCATATGTCCACACAAAGACTTGATCAAAAACACTCACGGGGGGCACCTGGGTGGCTGGGTCAGTGGAGCATCTGACTCTTGGTTTTGGCTCAGATCCTAACCTCGGGGGTCACAGGATTGAGCCCCACATCGGGCTCTGTGCTCAGCGTGGAGTCTGCTTGGGGTTCTTTCTCTCCCTCTCCCTCTGCCCCTCCCTCCGCTAGTGCTCATGCTCTCAAATAAATAAAAAAAAACAAAAACAAAACAAAAAAACCACTCATGAAAGTTTTATTCAAAATAGCCATTGAGGGGTTCCTGGGTGGCTCAGATGGTTAAGCATCTGCCTTCAGCTCAGGTCATGAGCCTTGCATCGGGATCCCTGCTCGGCAGGAAGCCTGCTTCTCCTTCTCCCTCTCCCACTCTCCCTGCTTGTGTTCCCTCTCTTGCTGTGTCTCTGTCAAATAAATAAAATCTTAAAAAAAATAGCCATCGAGATAATACAAATGTCTATCAACAGGTGAATGGATAAGCAAACCATGATTTGTCCTTAGAATGGAATAGTACACAGCAAGAAAAAGGAGCCAGCTATGGATACATGCAACCATGTGGATGAACCTCAAAGTAACTATGCTGAGTGAGGGGTGCCTGGCTGGCACAGTAAGAGGAGCATGTAACTCTTGATCTCGGGGTCATGGAGGGAGAGATTACATTAAAAAATAAAATTAAATTAAAAAAAAAAACAAACCTATGCTGAGTAAAAGAAGCCCAATAAGATGGCCAGGACAGCAAGAGACTTCTACTCTGATACATCATTTCACGTAAAAAGTGTTCCTGTTCATTAGTAAAACCAGCATTGTTTTTTCTGTGCTGTTTCAGGGTTCTGCTTCCTCCACAGACAGTGGCTTTTCATCTTCCTCATATTTCAAAATAGTTTATATAAGATAGGAACTGTCTGTTCCTTATAAAGTTAGAAGAATTTATCAAGAAAAAAACAAGAGAGAAGGAGAATATAAACAACGTCTGGAAAAATATATCATTTTAATTTCTTTTTTTTATTTTAAAGATTTTATTTATTTGACAGAGACACACAGTGAGAGAGGGAACACAAGCAGGCGGAGTGGCAGAGGGAGAAGCAGGCTTCCCGCCAGCAGAGAGCCCAATGCGGGGCTCGATCCCAGGACCCTGGGATCATGACCTGAGCCAAAGGCAGACGCTTAACGACTGAGCCACCCAGGCGCCCCTTTAATTTCTTCTTAATTATTACCTACTTCTTGTGATAATTTTGTTCATTTTCTCAGAAATTCCCTAGTTGCAAACCTCCACTTATTGCTGGTAGTACTGCTATTAATGTAGTTACTCCTTGCTAGAAGATTCCCTGTTCTTGATTACTAATAAGAATGAACATTTCCCACACAGCTGAGGAAAGAGTCACCTCCATTTATTACCTGCATGTGACCTGGAATAATCATGGAGGCCCACCTTTCTCTACAGTAAACACACCCACACGCAGAGGAACAACTTTTGCGATAGGCTGTACAATGATTCAGTGTGCTTGTCTTTAAAGGTTACTCATATTATCAGTACCATAAACAGATAACAGATACCATAATCAGTACCATAAACAGATTTCTATGTCAAGAAATAGAAAGGAACTGTAAAAATAAATACAATGAATGGATTTAGGATATAGCCCAACAGTTGTGTTCTTGGGCATCTATTCCAGAGAAATGAAGACTTATTTCATGCAGAAACTTGTACATGAATGTCTACAGCAGCTCTATTCATAATAGCTCCAACTCAGATGCCTTTCAAGAGGTGAGTGGATAAACAAATTGTCCATACTGACCATGGAACACTACTCAGCAATAAAAAAGAACTATCGATTGTGCAACAACCTGGATGAACCTGGGAAATATACTGGGTTTAAAAAGTCAGTCAATCCCAAAAGGTCACATGTTATGTAAGTCCATCTATAAAAATGTTCTTGAAGTGACAAAGTGATAGAGATGGAGACGAGATTAGTGGTTGCCCTGGTTTAGGGATGGGAGGGCGGGGATAGGGGTGGCAATAAAGGGGTAGCATGAAAGAGTCGGGTAGGGATGGTACAGGTGAGCACCTTTATGTGATAGTGGTTCCATGAAGCTACCCATGTAATGAGATTGCACAGCGTTACACACACACACACACGATGAGTGTATTTTTAACTGGTGGAATCTGAATAAGCTCTATGGATTGCATCAATGTCAATCTCCTAGGGCTGATTTAGTACTATAGTTGTGTTAGATGTTACCTCAAACTGAAGGAGGTTGGGGTATGGGAACACTGGACATTAATGTATATTTCTGTGCGATTCCTAGGAATCGATAATTAACAAAACAAAAACAAAATAATGGAAAAAAGTCAGTCACAAAACCTAAAAAATAGCAAGTAAAATATAAATAATCATTAATAAATCTGACCAATTTGCTGGATTTCATGTTCTCTCAATCTGTCCAAGTAAATATTAGCCCCATTTTCACAGAGCACACAGCAAGTTCCAAGGAGCTGAGTAACCTACTCCCAGACAAGAAGCCTGGCATAGTGTGTG